CCCCACTAGCTTTGATTCATTGCAACATTACCACCTCAGAGCTGGCCTTGGTTGAGCACTTGGTTCCCTTCACATGTAAAATAAATTACAAAGCATAACATGACACATACATAATAAAATAGTGTGTGCCAATTTTTGTTGCACACAACACACTCTATGAAATACAATGCACTTAAGCCTGTCTCTGCATGCTGTCAGCAGACACAGCAGTCCCCAGAAAATAACCAGCCTTCAGTGCCAGAGGCATGTCTGTGAAGCATTCTGTTGTTTCTTTACCAAGGAATGAGTGGAGTGAAGCCAAGATATGAAAGCTATGAGAAATGAAAACAATAGAATATTCACTAAACAACTATCATAAGAACTGAAGCTATATAAGAGCAGCAAATTAAACGTGAGGAAAAACAAATTCGACACTGAGTGCATTTACATGCACTCAATAATCCGATCATAATTGGATTTCTGCAGTTATACGATTATTACAACGATCATGTAAACAACATACTCCGATCTAGAAATCTGATTAAGAAATCCGATAAAGAGAGCTGGATTTTAGCTCAGTAATCAGATTTCTCAGCGCATGTAAACTCTTACCTGGATTTCTTTCGGATTTCTCAGTGTGGAACAGACTGCTATACTGGAAATAAACAAGAAGCGTTGCCACGAGATGGCAGCAAAACACTTTTGGAGCTACGCTGAAACCGACTACATTCTTGACAAAATGAAGGATTTGAATATTCTTCATCTCCTAGATGATGTATGTTCATATTTTCAGGTAAAGTGGTGCGATATTTGAGCAGCATGAAGTTTGAGTTTGAAGTTTTTACGTCACGTCGTCTTGTGTGATTTTATTGGCTGTAAAGCAGAAATCTCGTTACTGCCTGCTTCATGTAGACCCGGAGTTTCCCCATTAGCTGATTACTCAAGTGCATATAAACGCATTGATCAGATTACTGACAAAATCTGGTTTTCTACTTTTTATTATTAAGTGCATGTAAACGCACTCACTGTTGAAGCAGCAAAAGGTTCTTTCCTGACTGCTAACTTTGACTGACAGGGCTTCAGATACCTGAGCTGAGTTTATCTACACACATCAATTCAAACACATATCAATGTACAGTACATTTCTATGTGTTTGTAGAGTTATTTGAATCTCATCAATGATTTGAACTAATTTCAAATAAATCAAATGTGTTTTTGGTTCTATTGCGGTTAAACGTGAATTATTAGAAATTTTAAAAGATTTTGAAACTTAACATCTAAAGCTGCATCTAAAGTGTGCTTTGGCCATGAGATTATTGTTTTCTGTTTACATAAAAGTTGTAACTGTAATTTTGGCAGAGTTTCAGGATGTGTTTCTGTGCTGTAAGTAATGATATTTAGGGCAACATTTACTAGGCTATGTAATACTACTGCACACTGCCTGTACACTGCCCCTATATGCCTCAAAAACAAACTACAGATCAGGTCACCAATCAGCAAAGCTAAAGTGTGTCAAGCTGACCCAGAAAGGCCAGAGTGAGAGAAAATGTTTATATATCAGCTGCTTCAGTCTGCCAGTATTGGAGCCACTCTGACTGTGCTGAGATGAAGCCGTCAGCAGACCAGTGTCTGCAGAGAAGAACTCATTCAGTTTCACAGGAAAGAGAGAAATGTAAACTGCATCAGGGCCATGATGAGAAGGAAAGAACAGCTTTCACTAATAATACATCCAAATTGCATTGCTTTGTTTGAAAAGGAGAAAAAGGGGCAAGTATAACTGCTAGGATATAAGACCAGCATCCTGCGTCAGGGAGTGTCACTGTGTGTCTGCATCAAAAATATTAAGCCTGTCGGTCCCTGGTGATGCTATAGCTATCTGTGGCCAGGAGTCCAAGAGAGCACAATTGTCCCCCTGCTAGCCACTAGTCCTAACAAATGGGAGGAATTTGGATACATTTAAATTGAGGAGAAAATTTGTGTGTGTGTGTTGGGGGCTGTTTGTCCTTAGCTGTTTGCTTTTCAAAGAATGGATCATGTATTCTCATAAGGAACACATATCTCAAAACTAAATGATCGTTCATCTCTACTGTGCAATACCACTAAAGGACAAAAATGACTTGCAAGCTTCAGGTTCAGTTTTAAAAGCCTCACCAGTGTGCCTACTACATTTCAATATATGGGTTTTTAAAGAACCATTTTTGTAAACGAGAACTGGGTAGTCCTAATCTTAGGTAGTACCAAGCAGTAACCTCACCAGGATTGTCCCACCCACACAGCTTTAGAAAAAATAGAGAAATCTAGCTAGAAAAACTAATTCCCGAGGGAACTAACCGAGAAAAAGCTAACCTTGCACATATAACTGAGTAATCAAGCTAGCTCATTTCTCTGTATGCATGTTGTTCATTCATCCATTTCTTCATTCCTGGGTGCACACCCACCAGTAAAGTGATTAAAAACTTTCTTTTAAATGTAGCCACATAAAAGTTGGATGATATTTTTAGTGAGACATGAACACAAAAGGGTCAACACCACCACCTAAATATGTATAGCCCGTTTAAATCATTTCTCCCCTTTCTTGCACTGTTGTGTTTAGTTATTTCAGTGGCGAAGCAGACAGAAGTGTTGGACAGAGGAGTGTCAATTAATCATGCTCATTAGAACATTAGGACCATGTCCAGACAGTTCTCAGGCAGGTCTGATCAGCAGTTTTTAAGCCATGTTGTATCATATTTCTCTTTTTTTCGCTTAATCCAGCTAGGGTCGTGGCGCTGGATATTTAAATAACTCTAAATTTTGGTTTCCCAAGAACATTTTAAATATTTTACACTGTGTTCCTTGAGACTTAAAGAGTATATAGAATCTTTACATCAAATGGAGATTCTTTAAACTTCAATAAAGGGTTTTCATTTGTGCTAAAATCTAATTTTCAAAATTGTCCTTTAAAGAGCTGTCCTCTGAAAGGTTCCAAGGGAACCAAAAGAGGCTCTATAATGTTGCTTATTACAAGTGCTCAAAAGATTCCCTTTTAGTACCTTTAGTGTAGCGTGTTGGCTTTCTTTTCAAAATTGTCCTTTAAAGAGCTGTCCTCTGAAAGGTTCCAAGGGAACCAAAAGAGGCTCTATAATGTTGCTTATTACAAGTGCTCAAAAGATTCCCTTTTAGTACCTTTAGTGTAGCGTGTTGGCTTTCAGCAGAAAATCTTGGGCAAATGTTACTGGTCACACACTTCGAAACAAAAAATTTCACTGGAATTTCCCACAGACAATCACAAATGTATTCCCTAGGTCTGAATTTCATGTCTGGACAGGTCCACATATGGTGGACCAGCTGCTAGCAATAAATAATAATGATTTTGCCCAGTGTATTTATGAATATGAATCCAAGGCCATGTTCTGTCCTGAAAGCTCAGGCTGTTGCTTATGCAGAGCCCTTGCATTATCTTATTTTGTTATTTTTCAGTCCAGGGTATCTTATTTCTAAACGAGTTGCTCACTGCTTACAACTAAAACATTTTCTATTATGCAGCCTATTCTATTACCACACCTTTGTAAGATCAGCCTGATAAAATCTAGTCCTGGCTAATCAAACACTTAGTTTCATATACGGAACCATTGAGGCATTTACAGGCCTAGCAAATTAGGACAGTGCATTGTGTTTGTTTTCCTGAGATAAGGTTATGACTACTTTAATGTTAAGTCAAGTGAGATACTGCCTGCCACTGGCAGGCCGTATTTACTGCATATGTCTCTATTTAATCAATTCCATTATGCTAGCTGACATTCATGTGCGAGACCGCCTCTAAACCAACTGGCTATACAAATAATGCTACATTGCAGTCTCTGCGCTGACCTTTAGCACTATGCTAATTGGTGGAAGGAGATTAAGTACTCATAGCACTCTAATAAACAATGTGTCCTAGAAAAAATGATTGCCCAAGTAATTCCATCATGCTCCCTTTCTGACTGTAGATCAGAAAGCACACTGAGTGACAAAGCCTTTGTGAAGCACTTGTTAACTTCACACTGAGGAGGAAGTCTCCACTGTCAGACAGAATAAGACAGAAAATACTGTGTGTGCACTAGAATACATGATGACATGAACAAGGGTCAGTTTAAGTAAAACACAGCTGCAAAAAGGAATATCAATGGTCTGAGGCAATCTACCTGGGAGCATCTGTGATGCTTCTTACAGTGGGTCTAAACTCAATCTCCAGCATAAAATGCATTTACTAGGGACATAAAAATGATGCGTTGTGATACATGAATCTAAAGGTGGCATTTAAACTGCACTGATTCTGGAAAGTTATACTTGATTATAATGAACTATAATAATATTCAACTTTAATAACATTCAATTATGTTCTCATTGTTTTTGCCAAAATTTATTCTCAGATTATTTTCTAATTATTCAAAAAAGTGAGTACTGGTTTTATTGTCTATATCCCACTACTGTGTAAATAGTTCCTCCAGACACATTTGTGAATTCAGTGTAATTTTGAAAATAATTCTGAATATCAAAATAATCAAACTGAGTAGCAGTGAAACTTGAGATTTTAAGATGAATTTCCTAAAACATGGACACAGCTGTTTTAGGAGTTTCACTGATGTGAAATACCACTCTTATGAAGCACCAAATGCGACTTGAGTGCTCGTGTGCTAAACATGAGTAAATGAGTTACAAACCAGGTTCATGATGTATTTTGCATCTGAAAATCATAATTGAATCAAATCACTGTGAAGTCAGAGCTTTACACTTGTAGCCCGACCAGTACCAAAAAAAAAGCTCCTATCCAATCACGGATAGAACATTCCTGGCGCCTCCCAGACAGCCAATTCCAATTGAACATAGATGATTATCATCCCTCTCTATGTCAGCAGAGGCCATTACTGTGTGAGAAATGCAGCCACTCTGTCTCTCTCCCTCTCTCACCTGTGGCAGCCAGTGCTCCAGGCTGCTACTTTATCAGCTCCATTATATATTACAGGAGATGTCAGTGTAAGGGCAGTAATCAAAGAACAGGCTTCATTCATATCTCACTCTTTATAAATTTCCATCCTGAACAAGAAAGCAGTGAGTAAGCATAACATGTGAGAGGGAAGCACACTCTCATTTGAGGTACATGCATGGAAACATGATGCTACAGTAGAAAACAGCCAAGCGACAGAGATCAGAACACTTATGAAACTGTGTGGAGAGAGACAATGGGACTAAAATTGAATTTATTCAGTGCATGGTGCTCTATTTTACATTTGAATTCTTTCTCAATGATAGCAAAGAGAGATGGGCTAAACAAGAAAGGACATATTTAAAACCCAAGACTCCACCTCTTTTACGATCCACATTAACAGAAAGGAAAGGAGTGCCACGATGATGGAGACAACACACTGAAAGAGCTACAGCAACTTCAGCCTCTGTACAGAATGCTATTTATACTATTATAAAAGCATAAGGTTTGAAAATAGACAATTTAAAAACTGTATGTGCTGGATTCTTTAGGTTGATATGGGTTCATTTCGAGGGGCAGTAGTCCATGCCACATTAATAAATGCATCTGCCAAATGGAGAAATTAACATTTATGATCTCTGTAACACTGGCTGTGCCAAAGCTTAACACAATGCTTGATCCATTTTTATAGACTGACACTCATAGGAAGTCAATATAAGCAAATAAATCACAGAACAGTAATAATGCTGACGTTGACAGGAAACACATATAAGCATTATAAGCAAGTACTTCTGAGCACCTTTGGGTTACTTTAATCAGCAATTAACTCTGCTCTTCCTACTAGTCTCTAATTCCTCTAATCCTAGTTTAGCTTTAGCAAGAATGCTTGTTTATGTTTTGAGGCTCTGCAGATATGTGCAGTCTGAGCATGAGATCCTACTGCCCCCTTTGGTAGAAAAGTAGAAATATGCTGAAAATGGAAGAGAGACAAAAAGCTGTCTCTACAATTCCAGTAAAAAAGAATTAGCTGTAGCTGGTGACTGGAATGCTCTGTTAAATCTAATACAAAAACATAGACTACAATTAACCTGCACATAAAAACAGCAGGCCATCTAAAATGCTGAATACTCACATAAAATAAGACAGCTGGAAGTAAATAGAAATAAAACAGAACATACTATCACTAGACTGTTTGCCCTGTCCCTCTTCTCTAATACAGCCCCATTCCACTGTGACAAAAGAACTACAATGACAAGAACCAAAGAGAAAACAAAATGATGATAATGATACTGACTATAAGAACAATAAATATGATTCACAAAAGTAATATTCATATTTCAAAAAATGAAAATGATTCTGTACTGGCCCGTTTTTGTTTAAAATGAACACTTTTAACATTTCACTTAACTCTTTTACACAAAAACAAAAAGACACATAAATAACATTAACACAGTAGGAAAGTAATACATGTAAAAATACTGGTTTACAACAGAATGAAACCAAAATCTTTCTCTGATGACAACAGATGCTCCTTTGTCCCATGCAAAGAACCCAACCCCAGCATAGCATTACACATTATATTTGTCCAGTTAAAGAAAAAAGAACCTGTTAGAAAAATGTCCTTAAAATTCTCACCATCCTCCTGTGACTGTATGACCAAACCTATTGAAGTCTATTCTTAAACTGTCAAACAAATGAGATATAAACAACAAATCGTCCTTTGAGAAAACATTTTTCCTATTAGAAAACATTTTGCCATGAATCAGTCGCTAACAAGACATCTAGAGAGACATCAGAGAGTGAAGGTGGAGTGTGTGTCAATGGTGGGTACTAGGATCAGTCCATGGGAGCTGCTTGGAGATGGTCACCTGTGCTCTTCCTCCAGCTGGTTACAATGTTGATGGTCTTCTATCAAGAGGGTCCAAAGAGGTCATTTGGGGCTCAGCTTGCAGTCCAATGAGATGCTTGATACTTGAGATTATGTTTGAGGGAACAGAGTGTTGGGTAGTGTAGGGCAGTGGGGTGCAGGGTGGTTGGAATGTCTGTCGATCAGGGATGGCCTTCTACAGGAAAGGTGCATGTCTCTGAGGTAACTAGGTCTGTATGGTGGTTAACATACTGAAAGAAAGGAAACTGAGCAGTTCGGGAAGGCGGGGCTGTGGTCATGTTCACGTTCATCTTTCAAATTGGTCCCAGGTTTATTTTGCCCCTGCACAGGAACAACCAGATCAAAGCTATCAGACATAAACTGAAGAAAGCAAAAGCAAAACAATAAATGTAAACAACAATCTCAGATGACACTAAAGGCAACAGACCAAAAATAATTCACAGATGTACTGATGGATAATGGGAGGTCTTTTATGAAGTATTTAAATTTGAAAGGACTTAATATCAAACCATGCACAGCATTTTAAAGGCTACAAAAATACTATTGGAAAAAAACTAAATTAGGAACATTTTTTGGTGATAAGAAGCAAGGCATACCACGCAGATTCAGAGGTAGGGCAGAGGCAACTTGCAATTGCTAGGAATTTCAGGAACAGAACGGTGGTAATCATAAAAGCCTATGCACATCCTGAGACTAAAGTGCTAAAGTAAACAGTGTGCATTTGATGGAGCATAGAAGTGAGCCGTGTCTGTGCATGCATAAGCAGGGCCAGTCTTTCCCATCATCCCCGGGGAGCTCAGAGTGTATACATACCACCCTGGCAGGGCACTAAGTAACACCAGACACATTGCACCTCACACAAACAGCTCCACGACTGCACACACATGGCTCCACTAACAACAAGTCCTTTTTTCCTTCTGAAATGTGCTTTGTTAACCCCATTACCATGGACCATGCAGCTTTACAGGCGAGTTAGGAGGAGCATGGACATGTTTAAAGCATGGCGGAAACATGGTACACTGAGAAGGTCAGGACTCAGAGGAGTTTATAGAAGTGCTTTTACATTTCTCTACCCTTAATCAGGCTTTACAAGCACACTGTTTATATGGCTTTGTTTGCTTGTTGGAGTACCTAGAGAAGCTGTCCGCAAAAGTCCTTTTTCCATGGTTTTGATCATTATTCGCTCATCAAAGGAGCTTGGCTTGCTTTTTAACATTTGGGCACATTCTGTACATCTCTTCCTTCTCCTTGCAAGGCAACTCACAGTGTAGAGAATCTCAGTCTGAGCCGACTCTATAAATGTGCTAACTGTGAAAGATTATGTTGCATTCTATCCTATTTCTGTAAGAGGTTAGATTTAGATGCATACCATAAACCTTTGGGCCTCTGTTTACAGAGGCCTCCGGTCAGAAAGATTTGATTGCAGGCCACATGGAAACTGCAGGGGTTATGACTGATACAGATTTATAGCACTGCAGTTAATCTCTCTACTAGCACCACTGCTCTGAAACTCATACTGAGAGAGAGAGAGAGAGAGAGAGAGAGAGAGAGAGAGAGAGAGAGAGAGAGAGAGAGAGAGAGACCTGTCTGTGAAGAGACGTTTTATTCTATAGAAGGAATGCTTTGCTTTCATACATGGAGCACATGAAACATAAAGGGACACAGGCACAGATGATCTTGTGAGTGCTGCAATTAGAAACCAATTCTAACATTGTACCATTGCATTATATGCACAGCAACTAATATCAAAGATTGTTTTAGCTGAAGCAAAGGCAATAATACATATATAATTTACAAATGAAGAACAAAAAGAACAAAAACAACAACAACAAAAAAGATATGGATAATGGGTTCATTTCCATGGCTTTCATCTTTCCACAATACATGACAGTACATTTATACCATATTTAATGAGTGCAGATTGCTTGTATATTATATAAGGGATAAACCATGACAGGTGTGCAGTTACATGAAAATAATCCACACCAGGGTGGTGTGGAGTGGAGTGGATTATTTTCAAATGACCGGTCACACGTCCCATAGTGATTTATCCTGCTTATCCCATGGCACCTTGGCAATAATTTTTCTGTGCTGAAGAACAAAACGGTGGTATTTTACTGTCTGTTTACTGTTATACTTAATGTTGTGGAACAGTCACGAAAGTTAGTCTCTGTGAATGGCTATGGCAATATAAAGAGTGTAGCCTAACTATTAGTAACTAATGCAATGAAGTTTACAACTTGTACTTACATAGTCAGAATTTTAGCCTCTTGGTTACTATTAAAGTGAATAAACATTTGCCTTGAAGGTGAATTTTAACATACAGAAAGTCATCTCAAACTCTGCAGCACTGAATGTGATGGTTTTGATTGGCTTACATGTCTGGAGTGTAACCAGACAAGAGCAACTAAAACATTTTCTTACTCTTACATAAGGCACGCAGTAGTTGAACAGGCTATTTTTATACCTGTGCCAATGACTGACGTTCTTCGCCTGCTCTCCAACCACAGCTCTGACAGTAAATGGATCTGGTCTTGTTTTAAATATATTAGACCAATAGAATTATTCCACGAAATTTAAGAATGTCATGGAATAAACACAGTATAATGTCAATATAATTTCCAAAATCAATTCATTGCTTGAAAATGCATCATGCAACAGCAACAGTGAAACAAAGACATGCGCATGCACATACATAAACACCTAGCCATTCCTCACCTCTACTTATTTTTGGGTAGATTTTACTCTGGGGTGATCTCAGTTTCCTGATGCACCACTACTTTAGTGACAGACATGTCAGGGTGCTGCTCCTTTGCTTCCTTTATGGCTTGAGCCAGAGCCTGGAGAGCAGATAAAGGGCAAATCAAACTTAATCACACATACAAATATCAGAACAAATATTAACTGATGACTAGGCAAATTTTCATCAATCTAATTAAAGATCAATCCTGTTTACAACAGAATTGAAATAATATACTTACTATTCAAAAATATGTCAACAATACAGAGGGGACTGGAAATCATAACTTTTACCTTATCATGGTCAATCTCAGTGTCACCAGTGATCACAATCCTCTTCTCAATTCTGGTCTCTGAGATTCCTCCTTTCACTGTCTGAGAAAATGAAGAGGAAGGGAGAAGACTGAGGTAAGCATGCAGAAGAAGTGCTGCTTATTAAGACAATACTGTCAGAGACTTCCTCTTTCCTCTCTGTTGGAATCATATGGCATCAAGGCCACCTCTACAGTCCCGTGAGATTAAACAAAGAACATTTATTCAGGCCAATGATTCTCTTTTTAGAATGTTGCTAAAACATGGCAATGATAACTTATTGTTGGCTAGGCAGCAATTTGGCTTCACTGTAAAACAGCCTTGTATCTGTGTGTTCCCTATGGTATTTATTTCAAAACTCAGTGCAAAGCTATACACAGTTAGTGGTCATTTTTAGAATCTAATGAGTAAGAAATGCTTTGGGAGCTGTGTCCACTTCTCTATCTATATTAGGAAGCAGAAACTTTCTAACTCTTGACACATATTTGAAATATAATTATTTACTTGGATTTGCCATGTTTTATGCTAGCAAATCAGCAAGCATTCTGTTTACGGTTGTTAGGAAACTCCCTCAACAACTGCTGCACTGGGCTACACTCTTTTGCATTTCAGCATTTTAGTTGTATTACATTTACAGTAGTATCATCTTTATTTAAATACCACAGCACAAACTCTCATTTGTTATAAAGAGAATACAATGGTAGTCAAAAAGAATTGCTCCCACGCACCTATGTGATGAAATGACATTTAGGGCAGATAGTCCAATGAGACAATATGATACGGAGTCTCTAAGGGGCCGTGGTTAAAAGTTAATGACATTGCGTTCCCTCGCAAATGTTTTGCATTTCCTCACAAAAAGAAATGCATTCTCTTGCACATTATGCATTCCCTCGCAAATGTTTTGCATTCCCTCTCAAAATATATGCATTCCATATATTATAATAATTCCTCAAAATATACAACAGCAAGCAAATGTAGGACCAGATGTGCCCAACGACATTGCCTACATTAGAGCTTTGTTTTTTAGCATAGAGGGAATGCATTTTATTTGCAAGGGAACGCGAAACATTTGTGAGGGAATGCAAAACCTTTGCAAGGGAACGCAATGTCATTAACTTCTTTTTTTGCCTTTAATACAGCTGTCATTCCTTTCAGGAGACCTGCTTTCAGAAATCTGCGGGGATATTGTTCCACATCTCCAGACTTCAGTCTTGGAAGTTGATTGCATTTTCTGCTTCTCTCAATCCGAGCAATCTCTAATACATTCAAAGACGATGAGGTCTGAGAAGCAGCAGCTTAAGTGTTTGACTGCAAATGTTCTTTTGATAGCTAGATGTCCTTTCAGACCCATATCACTGAGCTGTCTTCTATATAGTAGAAAGATGGACAGAAACACCTGTGGATTTTTCAGATCTAAAGCAAGAGTGTAGCTCGATTTAAGTACTGGTTATTTCATACTGACAGTTTTGGTGGTCTATCAGGTCTTGCAGAGTTGTTATGTGTCTCATTTTCACTTTTTTTAACTCCATTTTGAACTTTTTCCCCACTTATTTTCATTCCTTCTGCAAGTGGATAATCTTATATCTAACCTGCTCATAAATATGTATTGAAAAAATAAATAACTTGTACTTAAGGGCTGTTTTGACTGGAAATTAAATAAATTATGGGTGGTCTTTTTTGGGTGGACTTTTGCACAGTTCTGTGAGAAATACTTTTTAACTACCAGCATATGAAAGGTGGAAAATATGTAATAAATAAATATTAAATTCTGTGACTAACTCTTCTGAGAAAATTGACTAAATAAATAAATAAAATTCAAGGCTCTAACTCTTGCAGGTGTTGAATTGACAAGATTCAGACAAGCAAAAAAAAGCTTTGACCTCTGCAGTCATGCAGTTCTCTTAACTATATAATTTTCATGTCGGCTTCATAATGGCAAAACAATCCACAGTAGTTATTATCTAATTAAAAAAAAGGCTTAAAAAGGTACAAATCCCATTTCCAAAAAAAGTCAGGAAATTTTGTAAAATGCAATAAAAAACAAGAATTTGTTTGTAATTTGTCAATTCTCTTGGACCTTTATTTAACTGACAAAAGTACAAAGCAAAGATTTCCTATGTTTTCACTGACAAACTTAACTGTATTTTGTGTCTGCAACACACTCAAAAAAAGCTGGGACGGACACATGCTTACAACTGTGTTGCATTACCTTTCCTTTTAGTTACATTTTTTAATTGTCTGGGAATTGAGGATATTAATTGTTTTTAACTTGAATATTCTATTAACTTTTCACTCTTATTTTGCCCCGACACAATTTTTGAGTGTATTGTGGGCATAAAATTGAAATTTTGCTTATATTTACAAAATACAATCCAGTTGTTTAGCCAAAACATTAAAGTCATTTCACTGTGCTGTTGTTATACAAAGGTTAAATAAAGGTTCAGAAGAAGTAACAAATAACAGACTCTTGTTTTACTACATTTCACAAAATGTTCCAACATTTTCAGAAATGGGGTTTGTAGGACTGAAAGCACTGATATGAACTTTCTGGGCTGAAAACTATATTGTATAATTAACACTTAACTACTTTAAGATGCACCCACTGCTGACATAGACGTTCAACTGCACACATAAAACTTTCAGAATTGCCATATAAAAAGCATTGGCAATAGAATGAGATGTTCTGGAGCAGCTGAACATGAGCTGGTGTGGAGTTCAAGTGTGATCCAAAACTGATCATCCTGCATCAGTACCTGACCTTACTAGTATTCCTTTGGCTGAATGCAATCAAATTCTCATAGCGATGTTCCAATTTATACTGTAAAGCCTTCACAGAAGAGTAGAGGCCATTACTGCTGCAAACTAGAGACAACTGTCATACTAATATGCTAGATTTCAGAAGACATGTTGGATGAGCAGGTGTCTACAAACATTTGGACATACAGTGCATCTCCCCTTGATATACTGCACACCCCTATTCATCAGCTACTGTGAATTAATCTGCACATGTGAAACAGCCCACAGTTCATGTAAATGGTTTGAAACCTGAGGTAAACCCAGCTTGCTTGGTACTGCTGACTGAATGTGAAATAGGTAAAGGAGAGATGGACATGCTTACCTTTGTGATCTGAGTGGTGGTGGTGGTGCTTACTGTCTCAGAGGTGATCGTCTGCGCACTGAGAAGCATGCCCTCTTTTTCTGTCAGAGCGTCAGGCTAAAATAAAACAAAAGACACATTCTAGCATACTCTAATCAAAAACTGCACAAAAATTCTGTGACCCACAAAACAAACAGCCACAACAAAAAAAATTAAAGAGTAAAGCAGCAAAAAAAAAAACAAACAAGTCTAAATCTTTCCCTCACCTGAGCAGATTCATAGGTAATGGTCTTGGTCTCAGTGTGCACTACTGGGACCTCCTTTGCAGCAATTTCGCTGCGCAGGGAGTTGGTGACATCAGAAATGGTAATTGTATGCATCTTCACCACAGGAGACTGTGAGAGAAGTCAATGCCAAAACCATGAGTGAACAGTTTTAATTGTAATGTAACTCACGTTACTTGTACTCAGGTGAGCATGCACTATGACCTATCCTGTATACATAATATAAACTGGTATTGTAAAATCAAGGGCTGTAATACCTGATTACAGAACATCAGCAGTTATCCAACTTCATTAAAACTAAGAACTGAAAGAGCCTATATTAATTCCTTAAGGGCATCAATGAACACCTGAACCTAACATTTAATCATCACCTTTCCCATCTACACAATCCAGATCAGTGTCGCCATCTTTCTGTAGAAACCAACACAAGGCTAATCAAGTTAGAGAAATCATACAGAACCACAGATAGAGCAATAGTCTCATATCTATTTCATCAATCTTCTATCAATCTTAAAATTGATAAAAGAATGGAAAACAGTCCGTAAAACCTTCTATTATCCACACAAACTACATTCTTTAAACAAGACAAGCTTGTTTAAAAAAACATCCAGAGTGACTATAGATCATAAATACATTGTGTGAAACTAATGAAGCAACCATATCACAACTTCATCATCACAGAGGATCACACATATGCACTTTTTCACACACACACACACAAGTCCCTGCAGGGTAAGGTGTGTCTATTACACAACACGTGAATCCGTCTGCAGCAGAGAGGATTGAAGCACACCAATTACCCACACTCCTTAGTACAAATATGCAGATTATGCATATCAGAGCCATCATGAATTACTTTCTACTTTCTTTCTACTTTCTACATTTTGCTCTTTATTTTTAAATCTCTAGGCTCCATGCAGTAAGAGAAATTTGATTTAAACACATTTTGCAGATGTGTCAAATGTTATTCAAATATTATTTGCAGCTAGTAAACAGAAACTGTGTGCTGTCGTCTTGAATGTACACACACACAAATTGCTTTCATGCCAGTGCCAAACTCTCTGTGCATTCTGTAGCTTTAACTAAAGCACAACTCATGTAATTAGGAGGACTGCAAATGCTCGTTCTGCGTTATGAGCTAAATTGAAAAGGAGGGTAAGACATTAGGGAGGTAAAAACGTCTTGATCAGAAGAAACAGATGGAACTGAAACTGTTTTCACAGTGAATACAGTATATTCTCAGTCCACTATCCAACATTATATTTCTGTTAATGTAGACTTGGGCAGATATTCATGAAGTGTACTTAGTGAGAAGAATGCATTAAATCATATGGTCAAAGCATTGGGAATTTAATATGGCTGTGCTGCGGCTGTACTCTAGATTACCCAAAATTTCACACAAACGTGTGCACACAAAAAAAAACAAAACAAAAAAAAAACAAAAATAAAAAGCAACAGTAACAATATGCTTCATGTGATAGGGAATTCGATATTTCTGGTTATGTCTGGACATGCAGGTCATACAATACCACTTTCAGAATTCAACAGAATTTGTCACTTAAACAAACTATTAACATCAATTGAAATAGTTGATTAATTATTAACCAATTTCCAATTTTTAAGTGCTAAACATAGTATACACAGACAGCATACCATAAAACATAATGGGGACATAATGTAGTCCCCATTATTGAGTAGATTTCAATTATTAGGTTCAAACAGATCTTTTTAAGGTAAAATGATGTCACTTCAACTGCACTTCAGTAAAGGCCACTAACACATCCACCACCAGTTTCTTCGTTACTTTTCATTTCGCTGTTTCTCCTTCAAGGAGGCCTACAGCTCACGGTTCCCACACACAAATGCTAGCAAAGGCTACAGCATACCATCAGTGATAACACAATGCTTAGCAAGAAAAGTTTTTTTTTTTTTGGGTTGCAGTGGTAAGCCAAAGGTAAACAAGTACACAATGCCCTACTGCAGTAGTGCATGAATTCAGTTAATGGCACAAGGATCCAGGGAACAGAATTATTCCATAAATCACAGAGGCTGGAGGTGTGGTTGTGTTTGAAACATCACCTGATAGGCTGTCCTACTCCAGGCAAACAAAAACATAAACATGTGGCGGTACACCAAAACTCCTTGGGTTTATTACAGAGATGTTCCTTGCTTTGCTCATCTGCTGGCAAAAGACTAAAGATTTACAACAGAGCTATGTGTCAAGTGCGGCAGCTTCTAAGAGGTTGTCCTGGTGTCCAGAAACAAACAGAGAAATACAGTGAGTTCAGTGGAGCCTGTTTTTTAAAGCTCTACTAGCTACTTGCTAATAAAAGCTGCTCCGTGCAAACGTAATAGCAACAAAGCAGATATGAAATAGCCTATTATTGTGACTAAAACTGAAACCATGTCAGTTTGAAAAAAAAAAAATAACAGTCAAAAAACCTTTCATTTGAAATTAGTAGAACTTCCTTTGAGAGTGGTCTTTTGTCACAGCTCCTCTTTCTGACCTCTGGGCAATGGTCCTAACTGAACTAGCCTGGTGAAAAGCTCTTTGAGCAATGCAACAGGGTTAGATCCAGGTGAATCCAGAAAGCTATGGCAATAAACAGAAGACTGTCAGCAGGCTCAGTGTTCCTCCTTCTTCACTTTCGCTTTCAGGCTGTGGATCAGGGGAAGACAAGCCACCACACAGTGAGGAGCAACAACAGAAGGCTGCTGAGGAGGACAGAGATGCGCGGGTGGCACAGTGACCTGGGTTGCAGCTGGCATGCATGCATCACAGTCTTCTTCTCCTCTGCTGCCACAGCAATGCTGACTCGCAGAGTTTGTCCCTGAGCTTTTTCTTCTTCATCATATTTACCATCATCGTTGTCATAAGCATCATCAGTACCAACATCTTCTTCCTCATCCTCCTCCTTGTAGAGTAGCAGTGACTGTCTGCCAGATGATTGAGCCCACCTGACTCTTACCTGCTCTTGGGGGTGCACACCCACAGCATGCCTCCAATACTGCACCAGCAACGTGGGACCAAGAGAGACAGAGAACAATGAACAGGCATGAGGAAGTGGGAGGTGAATGACAAACACAGAGGGAGTGGAGGAGAGGAGAGGAGAGGAGAGGAGAGGAGAGGAGAGGAAGGCCTAACCAATCACAAACACTGAATGTTTTGTGACTGTTAACTGATTTTAAGGAACTAAAACTCAGATAATTCCAACTATATTGGCCAATGACTCCACTCCAATAGTTTTAGTTAACGAGTCATATTTGAAGTAAGTGCATTTTGTTCCTGTTCTTAAGTGTTATTTTTGAGGATTTGTACTTTGTTTTAGCAAATAAGTACTTTTGAAGGTCTAAATGAAAATATAAGGACTAAAATGTAAGTGCAAATATTCATTTTCAATAAGACACTCACTTTCTCAAAATATGCCATATTGTTGTTTTGAAGTGCTGAGTGCTTCTGCAATGGTTCTAAATGGTAATTTGCTTTAGTCACAGGTTCGAAACTGCTCTCATTTTGTTCCTTTTACATGAAAACAAACATAAACTAACTAAAATTAGGCAAACTTAAATGACTACAACCAACACTATACACTCACTGCTCCTTTATGTATTTACAGTTAAGGGAAAATGGAACCTGTGCAATCAATCTCCTGTCATTCATTTTTTCTAATTCATGTGTCCAGCTGAAAATTATAGAGTTCACACAGCAAATGACAATAAACCAGTATGATTTATGTTCTGTGAAAAAAACTGCTCAGAAATGTTCTGAGCTGATGTTCATGCTAATCTTTTGATCTGGTATACAAATTTTATGAATGTATATTTCAACAATAATCTATTTTACAATGTCCCAATTCTTTGCTTCTCAATTTACTTGGGTGTGTTTAAATGCAGATGATTTCTTTAATTTATTTTTGACTCCACTTTTAACAGAGTGAGGATTTTCACTGAAGTATATTTTGCCACTTTTGCACATAAGCATAAAACCACTAAATCCTCAGAAGTGTACCGTTTTCCTTTCTCCAGTTGTGCCTGATTGTTACAATACCTACCATGCAATACAAAATCTGCCAGCAAGTATCAATCTGTGGAATCTTTACTAATACTAATAAATATTGGAAGATGTCAATACTGAATGATCTTATTGGCCAACTGATGCATTGGCTGGGCCATAGAGTAGAGAAGAGGACAAGTGAGGAGACAAGAGGAGATGAGATGAGAGGAGAGTGGAAAGGCCTCTGACTATGGGTCTTCAATAAAGCAGCATTTGTGCAGTGTGTGAGTAGGTGGCAGCGCGGAGACAATAATACGCTAAAACCAGCTGAACGCTTTGAAGCAATGGTGGCAGACAGTGAAGGGCTTTTATGGGATTTTACTATATGGTTAAAAGTGATAGGCATTTATATTTGGCATGTACAGTACAGAACACTAGTGCAAATCCAATTTTGGCAGTGCATCATCTGTCACTGAGGGATAAAAATGCCATAAAAACCTGCAGGGTTTGGCTTGGCCAGACCATTGTTGTGGCATCCTCGCTGCCCATTCAGGTGCCACAAGCTGAGTTTGGCTGGATCCTGCTGTTAGTATAAGTTGCCACATAGTAAAATAAATTGAAACAGCTTAAAATATATATATATATATATATATATATAAAAAGGAAGGTTACTTTAGTTACTACAGGAATTATGTGCATTTGAGAACCACTGTTTATCCAGTGCTTTGTCAAGTGGACATGACACACACAAAAAATGTGTGAACACTGACTGCATTTAATTTACTTGATTCATGTGTACGTCATTTCCACAAAAATAAAATGTTATTTATGCTAAATGTTATTTATTATTGTCTACAGTAAGTAAACTAGTCACATGTTTTCTGTTGTTGAATTCCCCTTGTCTGTATACCAATAATCATTTTCCATATTATTCTTTTTCTTCCCTAAAACGAATCGGCTGGACCATACCGTCCTAGAGTCCTAGAGACATGAAACTTGGTCACAAGTTAGTAGTCCCTCCCGCTACTCAGGTGTACGAAATGAGCCCAATCGGCCTTAAGTGGGCACTATTGCGCAGCCCAACATGTATGGCCCTGTAACTGCTAAATCAAATTTTTAGAGACAAAATTCTTTTTTTCCTAATTATTTGGGTCAGGACAAACTACTTTGTCATTTGGAATTTTTAGCTCCGTCTGCTTAGATTTTCCACAAATTTGCATTAAATGTGAAACCTACTTTTGCAAACTAGTCCTAGGGTTTTTGCCCAATCATTATGCAACTGGTGTCAAAAAATTTTGAAGAGTCTGAACCTCAATGATTATCAAAAAACAATGACTAAATAAAAAAATGACTAAAATATGAAAACAATATGGCTGCCATATGCTACTTAAAACTTCTAACATAATTCAAAATAATTCATAATTAATAAAAATTCTATAACTTGAGAATCCTTCACTCATAACATTTGAAACTTGACAGACTTATTCATTAGGGGATTCTGAGGCAGTGCATCATTTTTGGTGTGCATATGTCACTAGGGGGTGCTGTAACTGTTTCTCAGCCTCTGTATGTCCGATTAAGCTGAAATTTTGCTTGTAGCTTCTATTAGACAGACAAGTGAGTCTCTAAGGACAATTTCATACATTTAAATTTATGGCTGCCATGAGCCAATCAACATTCAGCAGGCTTTTGGCAGGTTTAACATTGATCAATCATCATGAAACATAAACTGCATAATTTTTTTGTAATCATAATAACTGTGCAAAACCATACTTTCTGAACTAGTCTCTGGATTTTGATCCTAACTTTTTGAAAATGATGTAGAAAAACTCAGTGGCCTCTCTAATTAAATAATTATCAAATACTCAACATGACACTGCTAGCTTAAACTGCTATAACTCATCACTCATTGGTCCATACATCTCCATACTGTAAGGAATTGAGACTCTGATGGGTTTTTGCAAAATTTCATCTACATTAGCCTTTGGGGGTAACACTTAAGATCATTACAAAATGCTATTACAATGTTACTACAAAGTCTACAGCTAAAACACTGGTACCATTTGATTCAGATTATTGACCTCAAGAACTCTGTAATTACATGTTATGTCAGAAATTGGACTCCCTGTCTGGTGTTTTGGCTTATTCATTCAAAGACTACAGCTTATTATACAAAGATCAAAAGGTGTATCTGAACACAACTCAGTGACCATATTTTGTTGAGGGTCCCTGATCAATAATCATATCATATTGAGACCTTTTGACAAATTCTGACCCACTTTCACTTATCTCCTCTATGCCAAAAGGGTCCTTTATGGGTGCATTGGGCCTCATTATAGCTTATATATCAAAGGGTTAAATATGGAGAACCAAACCACTGTGCAAATGCAACTATGTGAGAAATTTTGCCATCAGTCATGTAGTTTTGACATCTATGTTGACAGTCTCTAGAATGTTCCACAAACCTTTGTAGACCAGTACTTATGAATGTAAACATACATTATGTTTAAAGACCACTGCTCATTATTTATGACAACTGAAGGCCTTTTGATAAACTGACCTTCTTTCAGTTTTTACCTCTCTGCATCTAAATAAGGCCCAAACAGCATTAGGCCTTGTTAGGCCTTATTGCCTCAAAGTGCAGAAGGGCTCATACTGCTGATGCATGCTTGAACCTGCTCATTGTACTTGTATTTACTTGCTTTTATTTGTCACTCATGTCTGTCATTTTCTTTTTTGGAGGGAGGAGAAATTGTATTAGTTGTGGATTTGTTTTTATTCAAGTGGTTTAACAAAAATATTGCATCAACCATTCAGGAATACAGCCATTTTTACATAGTCCCTCCATTTTTACAGGCTCAAAAGTAACTGGACAAGTTAACATAATTATAAATACAAGGATTATTTTATAAACACTTCATGTTTAATCCTTTGCAGTCAATGACTGCCTAAAGTCTGGAGCCCATGCACATCACCAAATGCTGGGTTTCCTCCTTTGATATGTTGTGCTAAGCCTTTACTGGATCCACCTTCAGTTGCTGCTTGTTTATGGGTATTTCTGCCTTCACTTTTGTCTTCGGTAAGTGACAACCTGACCTCTACTGGGTTGAGGTAAGGTGACTGACATGGTCATTTAAGAACATTCCATTTCTTTGCCTAAAGAAGCTCTTGCATTGCTTTCCCCCAAGAGTTGGGTTGCTTTGTTTTGGGTCAATACCTACCTGTACTGTGAAGTGCCATCCTATCAGTTTTGCCGCATTTGACTGAACCTGAGCAGAAAGTATAGCTCTATACCCTTAGAATTCATCCTGCTACTTCTATCAGCAGTCACATTAACATATACACCAGAGACCTGGTTCCATTTACAGCCCTACATGCCCATGCCATAACACTGCCTCCACCATGTTTGACCGATGATGCCGTATGCTTTGGATCATGAGCCCTTCCTCTCCTTCTCCATACTCTTCCCATTAGTCTGATACAAGTTTACCTCATTTGTCCACCGAATTTTGTTCTAGACATGGGCAGGGTTTTTCAGATTTCTAGTAAATCTAATCTGGGCTTTCTGTACTTGAGTATATGTATCTTGAGGTAAACATACTATTTATATTCATGAAGGTGTCTCTTGATTGTAGACTTTGACAATGACATGCCAAACTCCTCTAGAATGTCTTTGACTTGACTAGATGTTGGGAAGGGGTTTTTCTTCACCACAGAAAGAATTCTGTGAATGTTCACTTTGTCTTCCAGGCCTTTTGGTGTTGCTGAGCTTGCAAGTGCATTCCTTCCTAAAAGACTGAACCAAATTTTTCATTTGGTCACTTCTAAAGTTTCTGCTATCTCTCTGATATGTCTGTTTTGTTTTTTCAGCCTAATTATGGCCCCCTTCACTTGTATCAACACCTATTTGGACCACAAATTTAGAGTTCCCACAAACAGCTGCCAAATGCTTATTGAACACCTGAAGAGAAGGAACAGGCACCACTTGACCGTGAAACTGCTTATCAGTTAACCGTTCAGTTACTTTTGAACCAGTGAAATAAAGGGACTGTGTAAAAAATGGGTGTAATTCCTAAATACTTAGTGCAATGTTTTGTTAAATCCAGTAAAAGCTGAAAGTATAGTTATATCACAGTGTATCAAATCTTGATTGCTTCATTTTAAATCAATTGTGGTGTTGTACAGAGGCAAAATTATTTGATATTACCATATTTTCTAATTATTAAGTGTATGATATGTAAAATAAGTATATAATATCACACACACACACACACACACACACACATATACATACATACATACATATATATATATATATATATATATATATACACACACACACACACACACACAATTATTATATTTATGTATACATTTGAATCGAGTAAATTCAATGCATAGTATGTGTGTGGATATGCATGTGTACACGCGTGCATGATTGTGTGTGTGTGGGTGTGTACACACAGCCTCAGGTCTGAGACTGGTACATTGTGTAGTAGGCCTCTGTTGAGGATGACCGTGAAGGCCGAGGGTGAGCCCCTCTCTGGGTGTCTCCGCCCACCCCAGCATTTGGAGAGGGGGATGGACAGGGAAAAGAGGAGAAAATGGATGGAGGGCGAAGAGGACATGACCGTGACCCTGGACAAGACTTTGAGAGGAAAAAGAAGGAGAAGACAAGATACAGAAATAATAGTAGTGGAAGGGCAAGGGAGAACACAAAACAGTAAAACCACCACAGAAAAAGGAACAGGAGGGAGACAGGACAGAAGACAATAACGGAGAGGAGGGCCAGTCAGTTTGTAGTCTTTGATTGATTCTGTTTACTTATTTTTCTACTTCAATCAGTCTATCCTTTGATTCTCGTTTACAACTAACAACTCACAGTCATGCAGCTTGGGATATGTGGTGTCAATTCAGCCATGCGAGTAGCAGATCAAAGCACAGGGACCAAGTTGCTAGCAGCCATTCAGTGAGCAGAGGCAAGAGGGGGTTTGCACCAGGCAGAAGAGTACATGGCATGTTGAGAACAGCACCTGCTTGAACTCTGCCATGGCCATTGCGTCCAGCGGCCATTCATGCTACTGTTTTGCTCTGTTCTTTATCATCATCATAAAGAAACATCGGTCTGTTCTGAGTGTTTGCCACAGCCTGACCAGTAATGACCAAATAAGAGCATCTTTACCTCTGATACACCACCCAGTACTCTGCGTACAGGTGGGAGAGTGGGCGTCTGCACCTGTATGCATATACACACGTACACACTCATTTTTTAAATGAACCATCACACAATATCAGTGCTTGTTACATACATATACATTTCAGGTATTTCTACAATACAGTAATAACAAATGCGACAAAAATTGCCAAAGCAGAAAAAAGTTTTAGTCTCTGAGTACCCAAAGAAATCCCAATGGCGGTTCATCCAAACATAAAGTCCTATGAAAATGTCAGTACATAGCAAAGATTTGCAATACAACAAGTCCAGTCATATTAAACAGTCACTGAGAGCATGTATAAAGTCAAGTATTTAGTTGTGAAAAGGATGTTAGACCAAAGCATCTAACTTTGTGAGGAACAACAATTTCCTATAAACCTCAGTCTGATGCTATCATAATAATAATAAAAGTGCCACCAAGTAGAGTAAATCATTTAGAGCAATTTATGTTGCAGACGCTCATTCTGAACTAATAGGTATGTTGAGCTATCGTAGGTATCGTAGCTATCGTGGCTGCTAAAAAGCACTTAATGCTTTGTGCCTTAATGCAAATTCATTTTATTCCCAAAATCCCATAGAGTAACAATACAATGATACAAACAACTGGGAAGCATGTATTACTTGATGGAGCATAACTGACCACTCAAAATTATATTTGATGGGGCACTCACCGCATCAGGCTGCACCTGGCCATTGATGCTAGCTGTGCGGAAGGGTGAGTGTGTGGACAGGCGCTTGTCCCATTCGCTGGGCCGTGGCTCGGGGACAGATTCCATGAAGCTGCGCTTCAGCTCACTGATGCTGCTGTGGTGACGCATGATCTCTGACTGAGTCTTATCTAGATCCTGAGAGAAAAAGGGAAGAAAGAAGGAAAGAAAAAAAAAGGAAGAAAGAAAGAAAGAACAAAGGAAGCGGACAGAAAAAGAAACAGGAAACAAGAACAAAAGAGAACAGAAAAAAGAGCAAAAGATTATATATATATTATATATATACACACACACATACATACATATATATACAGCACAGAAATAAGAGTAAGAAGAGAAGTTCAAGGGTGCAAGACCAGAGAAGGTCAAGATGGGGAGGAATGAGAAAGAGAACATAGTATTATTTTGTGGCTCTGAGAAAATTAATATTTTCCCAAAAGCAGCAACTTCTCCAAGTAAGTCTAGAGAAGGGAAAGGCTACACTTGTCCTGGAGGGCCACAACACTGCATGACTTAATGTTGACTAATCATGCAGAGCTGAACTGGGTATGTCATAACAGCAGGAATCACTAAGAGTCCCCATTATATAAAATTATCACAATACTCAACCCATGATATAATTCTATCACAATTTTAAAGACATGTGATATGCTAAATATTGCAATATGATATGTTTTCTTTTAACTGCAAATTGTGCCTCTAAAAGAATTTGTAAAATATCATACATTTACATTTTGTTCATCTCACGTCAATATTTTTAGAAGCAATACAAAGTTGTGAAGTACACAAAGCAACAGTCACTTGCATATGTAGCAGATGTGATTTACAGTGGCAAGTTAAAGTATTGTTAGCAGTATAGCCCAAGGAAATCGTGTTACCTACTACATTATCCAACCAACCATTCTGACAGAGGCCTTGACTTCTCAGCACTATCTTGTGCACTTTGGTATGTATTAGTCTATCAATGGGCTCAATACGCATCAAGACTTTTAATAATTAAAAAGTAATTAAACAATGAAACACTGCTACAATTATGAAAATATCATCAAATGATACAGTTATGAAAATATCATCAAAAACAAACAATGATGTATCAATCTGTTCTTCTATTCCAAGTGTCTTAGCTGGAAAATGTTCCACTGTGCAGTGCTGTAGCCTTTCAGGAGCAGAACTGCTACCCACTCCAACAGCTAAAAGTCTCATACAAACTGCTCACACACAAAGGTGAAGAAAGCATATGGCCTGATCAACAATATACCATCAAGACACAATCCAATTCTGTCTTTCGTGTCTTTTTTGATTTTTAATTTAATGTTCTCTTCATTTTCTTCCTGCTGACTAAAATAGGTCCATCTACTGAGATGGGTCAGAAAGACAGGGAAAGTGAGTGAGAAACAGAGAAAGATTAAATCTTCCAGTCAATCATTATTCATAATCCATATCTATTCACAATCAATCTAGACCATCATCCACACAGGAGCAGACAATAAGAGACAAAATATGGAGAGAACTCAAATGCGCTCTGTCTTCTAGACATCTGCAAACTGCTGAAGCATCAATGAAACACTCACATGAAAATCAACCTGGTGACTGCCTCTTCTCAAAGACAGCTTCACCTCACCCTGCACTAGACATGCAGATAGACAGCCCACTGCTAGCAGATAGTCAACTGGCTTTTTAGTTTGATTGTTTCCACTAGTACCTAGTGAAACATGCTCACACAGCAAGATAACTCTAATATGGGTGATAACTAATGGCTCAGAATAGGGCTACTGATTATATTAGCAACTGAACAATTAACTGTTTTTTTGACAATTACATTTTTTAAAGACAAAAAATAAATGCACAATAAACTAGCAATTCAAAGATTTCAACACACTTAACTTGAAAAAAAGGTAAACTAGGACGTTTTTCCAAAGAAACAAAACAAAAATCATAGAAAAACATGATGTAGTTCAAATATATAAAGGGGTGTCTACCAAACTGCTTCTTACTGTAAGAGAATTTCAAATATGCATCATCATGCACACTGCCCACTAATCATTGCTGATTCATCAAGGAGGTCATAGGTAATCAGGTCATTTTTTAAATCAAGCTAATACAGAGCATTGCACAAGTATTCAGACCCCTTAAAAGTCAACATATTTGTCTGAATTACAAAGATTGGATTACACAGATTGTTCCAGCCAGTATTTTTTTTTACTGCAAACCAATATGCTCTTAAACTAAACTGAGTGATAAAATTAATTATTTGTCAGCATATCTGTCCAGGGTGTTTCCTGCCTTTCGCCCAATGAGCACTGGGATAAGCTCCAGCACCCCCCGCGGCCCAGAAGGATAAGTGGCTTAGATAATGTGTGCCTGGGTGTATTCAACCCGTTCTGACTAGTACTTGGTAGAACCACCTTTTACTGAAATAAATAGCTTTAAGCCTGTAGGGGCAAGTTTCTTCCTGGCAGATTTGCTCCAGGTTGTTCATGTTAGCTGCATGACACTTGTGCACCGCAATTTTCAAATAGTGTAATAGTATGTTCTTGGCTAGATTGAGATCTGCATTTTGACTTGGCCATTGTAGAACTTTTTCCTTTTGTTTAACCACTCCTGTGCTGCTTTGGCCTTGTGCTTGGGATCACTGTCCTTCTGAAAGGTGATGTTTCTCTTGTCTGGCAGTATTTCCCTATATTTTGAACCATCCATCCATCCTTCAATTTTAACATAACGCCTGTCCCTTCTAAACAGCATCCCCACAACATAATGCTTCCACTTCCAAGCTAAACCGTTAGCATGAAGCTTGTTGTGGAATGGACAGTGTTCGGTTTGCACCAAACGTATTATTTTGAATTTTGGCAAAAAAGCTTCATTTTTGTGTAATCTGACCAAAACCTTCCACACTTTAGCTTGGTCACTCTGATGCTTTCTGGCAAACTCCAGAGATGCTTTGAGATGCTGTTTTTCTTCAGTAATGGCTTCTTTCTAGCCACCCTCCCATACTGGCCAGTAAATGTAGAGCTTTTGATATCTGTGACCGGCATACCTTCAACCTAGTCTGAGAAAAGCGCTATGTAGCCTTATTTCTATATCCTCTAATTGTTACCTTAGATTTTCTAAGATTCTTTGTCCCTATGTGTGTTAAACCATATACGGAGAGCTTGTCAATTTGCATAGCTTTAAAATGCTTATTCAACCAAATGTTGAGCTTTATTTTTTCACAATCAGCAGAGCATTGCATTCAGTGGTCTTCTCCAGTCACCCTGTACTGTTGTATATTATGGAGCATGCTATAGCTTTCATAGCATTACTCATATTGCCTTTGCTATTCTTATTTTTCTTTATGGTTTCACTCCTATTCACTCAGTGCATAAATATGCAGCTCAATAAAGCACTGGAGCTTGGAGGCTATATGCTGACTCCCATGTATTTGTTTGAATGGAGTTTGACTTGCTATTTAAATGTGTAAATGCATACACACAAGGAGAACAGTGTAATCAGTCTTTTAAAATGAAATATGACAGCAGAAAACATCGAAGTGTCAAGACAAGTTTGATGACTTTTAAAGGGGGCTGAATACCTCTGTAAGGCACTGTAAAGATTTGCGATCAAAATTTTCAAAACAATTTCTTTGAATTAGTCACGTGTCTTTGATGCAGAGACAGCAGCAGAGTGGACAAATATGTGAGTGTTTCAGCAGTACTGTACTGATTTTAGGGCTGCATGGAATTAGTCCTCACGCACACAAAGCTTGGGAGTCACACCTGTTAACACTCCTACATGCACTGTACCCACACTAAAAAATCCTCAACAGACAGGCCTAGACCTACATCAGTGTCTAGACAGATATATTTACTATATCCAGCTAAAACTAAAGCCATTTTTCCACTGCACAATCGAAATCTTTGGCACCAGAAAACTAAAGCTGTGTTTTTTCCATTGGCCATCAATCCAGTGCTGAAGGTTCCAGTTTTATAGTTTTGGTACCTGTTGAAGACTGGTACTAACAGACACCTAACGGTTCTCAAGGGTGTTCTCAACTGTGTTTGGTAGCATTTGCTGTTGAAGCCAATGACAATTCAGAAAATTACTCTTCAAATTTAAATCACCAAGTACTGCTACATGACCAATAAAGGCACCAGACTGTAAACTAGAATGGTATGTTATTTTTTATTTGTAAAGAAGTTCAGTAAGGTGACAAAAGCTAGTTATGAAGCAAACTTTAATGTTTTCAGCATTTATGCTGGCCTCTACTGTGCAAGTGTTTTTTACTAATATTTTTAGGCTTAAAAGAGAAAAATATATGTTCTCATTCGACACATGATTCTGTGTAATTGTAGACATTTGTTTGAGTATGTGAGTTCAAGAAAGCACACTAATGTTATATCATTTTAATGCCAGCAGATCTGGTGTTAAGCTAAACTAAATAATAAGCAAGATATCTAACGTGTGAATTCCAGAGAAATTCAAGAGAAAAACTGAGGCTTCACATGACACATCTGTATAAATGTAGACATTTTTGTCAGTGCGTGTGTGCAGAACAATGCAGTATATCGTTTCAACCTAGTGTAACCAATAAGTTAAGCTTACTAGCAGGTAGGTGTGGCAAAAAGAATACATTCTTAGATGCATCGCAATTTGCAATAATGCAAAGTGTACTGCATGATCACTGCACAGTCATAAATTTGTCACACATTTTTTGTACATTGAGTAAAAGGTCCAAAACCATAGCAAGTATATTGGTTTTAGGAATGCAACTTTGTTAAACAAGGATCTCAGGAGATTGCAAACCAGCTAACAGGCTAATTTAGTAATATTCAGAGTTATGTTTTAAGTAAAAATGTCTGCTGAAAGATTAACTGTGAAGCTGCAGCATACCAAGTACAAATATGCGGGGGTTCAACCTTTTGTATTAACTTTTCTATTAAATATTTTTATTAACTCAGCTAAAAAGCATGTATATCTGTAACCTACAACAAGGGTGCACAGATCTGGTTCTGGAGGCCCAGTGCCTAGCACCATTTGGTAATTTACCTTCTCACACACCTGATTATACTCATCTGTTAATTGCCAGGTTTAGTGGGTGTGTCTCAATAGGGACATCTCCAAACTGTGCTGTACACCGGCCCTCCAGGATCAGAGTTGTACATCCCTGACCCTGACAGTATTATGTTAAAAAAACTAAAAAATAAAAACAACAAAAAAAAATAAAGAAATAAAAATGTAGGGTATTGAAATAAAAAATGGGGATGCATTGAGACTAGTTTCAGAATCATATCTTTGCACCCTGAATCAAAATCAAATCGAATCATGAGGTAACTATTTCCCCATCCCTACTTGCAGTCAACGCAGGCAACTAGTCCCGGTTCTAAAACCTGATTGGCTGAGCCACATTCAAAGCTATTACAAATACTCAATATACAGACACTTACAACCACATCTCAACAATTGAATTCTGTATTACTGCAGCATTTGCTGTGAACAGACTACAGTGCTACTCACATGAACCACTGAATGTAGTGGTAGATGAAGTAAGAACTAGGTGTTGCCATAACACTATCAATAGCAGGCTCAACAGGCTGAAATACAGCTAATACAATATTTAGTGCTGGGCATAAATACTAAAAATAAATAAATACTAAAAATGTTGTTTTTATTTATTTTTTTTTTTTAACATAATACTGTCAGGGTCAGGGATGTACAACTCTGATCCTGAAGTCTTTACTGAATGATTCACCGGAAAACTGCAATATAAAAAGTAAAAAATTGAATATTAGTAGTATTTATTATAGCGTGAGAAATCGAGTGTGTGGTACTGTAGCTTGATGTTAATACAACTGAAAAATTGCATTGAGGTGCCAGTGGAAATCAGTTTCCTGAAATAGAACCCTAAGTTTTGTTTGATGCAATTAGGTTCAGTTCTTGTTTTTAAATGTGCAGTGGAAAAACACACAGAGACTTTCTCTGTCTAAAGAAAACTGTCTAAAGTAGGTTCCACTCATCCTACAATAGCTGCTCCACAGAAATAGTCACACAGGTTTTACTTATTCACTTCTGCATCAAAAGTCTTGTCAAGCATTGTGCTAGAGGACACCACAATGAATCTGACAAAATTGAGATGTATTGCTTAAGGAAAATTCCAGCACTTAAGAGTTAATGACAATGATAACATAAGATGTCAATAAGATAAGACAATAAGATGCCAATGAGTATCATATGAAGGCTCATGTATATACAGACACAGATGACAGGAAGAGAGCGACACAGCTTTGTGTGCATGTGAGGGTTCATGTTGCTGGATTCTTCTGCTTGTGGTAGGACACTGATCATGATTACACAATGAGAATGGAAGCAGCTTTGAGGAGACGTCATTCATGTAGCAACTATGGAAATATATGACTGGGAAGGACCTCCATACAGTATGCATTAGTAACATTAACTGTAAGAGGTGTGTACATTTTAATAAGTAGGTTATATTCTGAATGTAGGCACTGTTCTTTCCCCTGAAGGAAACATTATAGTATTAAGAAATCCAGCTAAATTCAGACTATTCAGCTCAAAAAAATTTGAGAAAACAATTATGTTGACAGAGAAAATGCTTCAAAAGGCACTGGAGAATGCTTTTGGAAATCTGTAAATGCTGCAACAAAACAGATGCTTTTAAGGAGTTCTCAAAAAAGAATAAATGCATGCATTTGGATGCAACTACCAACTTGATTTGGCACTAGAAATTAAGAAGTAAATAAAATAAATGCTTATCCCTGTGAGTGGGGACATTTTCTCTATAATCATTCCTATCATATTCCCAATCATATATTTAAGAAAATTAGGCTGAAAATTAAAACATCAACAGGAAAACAAGTACTTGCATTAGAGTTACTGAGGTAAATAGTACATGCGAAGCCTTTAGGGTTGAGCTACAAAACAAAAAAGAAAGAGAGCATGGTGAAAAGAAGAAATGACCAGAGAACAGCAGTCAGTGTAAGAAAAAGAAGAACAGAAATCTCCATGCAATAAGGCATGCAGCAGCAAACAACGAAAAGCAAAAAAGGACAATCCCCAGATGCTCCATACAAACCTCCAACATTAAATTGCTATGCCTGATATAAATAGTTTCACCCTCAAGTTTCTTAGCTCTTTTCTGTGAAAGATAAAAAAACAGGAGAAAAAAAAATGAATAACTGATCGTGTCCTACGGAAGAACAATTTAAAAGAAATTGTGTCGACTCAGGTACTTCTACTGTGCATTCAGTGTGGCAGAGCTGATGGGAGATGTAGTAATGTTGTCAAATCAAATGTGAATGAACTACAGGAAGTGCGTGCATCAAAGCAGACTGAAGAGTTCAAAAGTTTTGGGGTGAACTGCGCTGTAGGTGAAGTGTCAATACAACAGAATTTTACACTGAACAGAGGTGTGCTCTTTTAAATGTCTAATAAGAAAATAAAGGCACACTTCTATAATACTGCCATACTTATGCAATCTTTACACTGAATGAAAGCTTTATTATTTGGCTAAAACAACAGGGAGAGTTGTGTTGATGAAATAAATGTTTCATCTGTAAAACAGCAATAATAGAAGAACACACCAACATTGCATATTTGTATAAAAATGTACCTTGGGCATTCCTACCTATATAGCCCTATATGGCTGTAAAAATTACATACAAAGTATTTAAGGATTCTTTTATACACTAATACAGTGATCTCTTGGCTAGGGACAGCTCATTTCCACAGCAACAGAATATGATTTTATTTCTTTGAAAATGCATTTGCTTTTTTTTTTTTTAAAGGAGAAACAGGCAGCCTAAGTTGAGGCAGCTATCCTGGGCTTTATTTGGCCTCAGTGACGGGCCAGTGAGCAAGCAGAGAGACCGCACACACACCTTTGTCACAGCCTAAACACAATGGCATTCAGCAGTCATGGAGAGCCAGCTTGTATAGCCACAGTTATACAAGATACACGGCCAGAGCAAATGACGAAAAAAAATATATAAAATGATGGTATCTTTTTTCCTGTGGTGGAAGACGAGCAGTGAGGATGAGTATGAGGACAGTGGCTTCTTCCTCGTGCCGCAACACCCAAATAAGAATCATCTCTAACCTTCCGCATTCGCACCATCTCCATATCTGCTCGCGGGGACTGTCCAAGCCCCCAGGGGGAGGAACAGAGAGCCACGTTAAAGCCTATGGTATACATTAGTGGTGCGTTTGGACGGTCCTTGTCAACTCTTAAAGCTGGGAAAAGGTCATATCACCAAATGGTAATTACCAGTGGTTAGCGTTTGTCCCAGCATCAGCAACTGGTAAATCTCTCACATGATCAATATACATATATCTGCTGGGATGGACCAATGACATCACTGTAAGAAAAAATAATTTATTATTGGTTGCTTACTAATATTTCCTTGAGCAGGAATTTTCAGCTCTGGTCCTGGAGTGCCAGTGTCCAGCACATTTTGGTGCTTTCTCTATTTAAACACACCAACTAACTAAACCTGTCAATAAACAAAAGAGTTGAATCAGGTGTTTTTTAAGCAGGGAAATTGTTAAAATGTGCTGGACACTGGCCCTCTGTGATTTCTAAAAAAAAAAATTAATGCCATAGAGGTAGGCTTCATGTTACAGATATTCCTCAATATTGCACTAAAGAAATCACAGTGTCATTACTATAAACATGGGTGAACATTGGTGAATTGCTTTCCAGCTTTATCTACTATGTTACTACTTGCATTTACACTTTATCAGCCATTCGAGTGCAACTTCCTCCTTGTGGTAAACTCAGAAAATCAAAAGTTTTCAAGGACCGTTCAGATGCACCATATTGCTCCAAAAACACTTATATATGTAAAAAAGGGCTTAATTTTACAATCATTGAATACTTTAACTAAAATCTATCGGCTCCAAGACTGATTTTGCACAAGTTAAACAGTTAGTGAACGTTAAAACCTTTATTAAGGAGTCCCATTATTGTTTGAGCATGCATCTCATGCAGGTAACAGAAGCCTGAAGAACACACCTGACTCTTTCTCTCCCCATTAGTAGCTGTAACCGCAGGGGCATCACGGTGCCGCCTCTCACGCCGGGCAACCGTCTGCAGTGGTACACAGTAACACACCCTGATCTCTCATATAAACATTCATACACAGCTGTGATGAGCATACCAGTGCATAGGCTAACTAATAATGGTACAGTCTCATCTGTATGTTGTGTGTCTCTTTTCTGAGAGCAGCTGCGCTCCTTTTAGTGAACCACTGATGAAGTGTCACTACATTTAATGATTGTATGGTTATAATTGTATAACTAGATACTCACAATTTTAAATCTACTAGCTTTGAATGCTTAGATTGCTAAGATGCTAACATAATAGATGATACTGTAAGGATTATTTTCCAGTAAAATGACATTACATGGGATTGGCATAATTTTTAAGTGACTTGTCCACTCTCTGCATTGTTGCACAGTAAGGTGGAAACAAATGTGTACAGAATGCTGCCAAATAACCTACTGAACCTAATGAGAAATTGTAGTACACTTTGTATAGAGTTGCTACATCACGCTGAATCTCCATTTTAAAACGCTATGCTACCGCTGCAAATTATTGTTATGTTATCTTTCCAATCTTCTGTAAAGTTTAGTTGACATAGCAACAGTTGCTATTAAAGGAAGCATTTGTGGGCAGAGCACCGACAGGTAAACCGTACGTATCCAATTGGCATAGGAAGTTTATAATTTCATGTATCCAATTGGTATGTGCGTGTGATACCTTGATCTCAGGTTTGCCCTCCGGTTTGGCGCCCTGTGGTTTGGAGGCCTCGGCCACATGACTCTCTGTCTTTGCCTCTCCCTTCTTCTCACCCGCTTGGGAAGGCTGGCTGGTGGGCGTGACAGTTTCTTTACGCTCTACCCGTGCTGTTGATGTCACCACAGAGGATGGAGCTGCATCACCAGGAGAAATGGGAGACATGACGGGAGCACTGACAGGTCGTGGGGTTTTATCCGGGGTGGACACCATTGCTGAAAAATGGATGGTGAAACAGAGGGAGGAGAGGAGAACATGTTAAACAGCTGAAGACTGACAGGGCCACACTGCATAAATGTCCTATCTTTAGTCCTAAATTAAGAACAGGGATATTTCGTTAATTATGGATGCTGGATGGATCCTGGGGTGTCCCGTACCAGTTACCATTAACAAAAAAGAAGAAATAGCCATACTTTAATGAATAACTACTACAACTTGAGGTTATTAGACTTTTTCCTATATATTTTTTTCTTTTTACTATTATTTCTACTATTAGATGTATTACTACACACTTAAGGTTTTGTTTCACATATGTGTGATGAACTTTAAGTTTGGTCACAGCTGCCTAAACACAATAACATTCTAATTTCAGTTAACAACAGTAATGGAAATTTAAAACGTAAATTAGGACAACTAATACATAATACCTTTGAGAGATGTCCCTGTAATACTCCTTTCTTATCTGGAGTTAGGATAAGATGGACTTAAATGAACTTAAGAACTGTAACAGCTGCTTTCCTGGCTGAAGTCATCATGGTGAATAGAAAGATAAGGTAGGATTTCAGAGTTAGTTTCTGTAATTCTGCACTTTTTTCCTCAATCACCAAATAATCGGTGTCTTTGTTGCAAGAACAAAACTCAGACATGGTTCCCCATATAGTATTCGGTCAGCTCTAAATTTAGCCTCTTATTTTACCCTCCGACTGAACTGTTTTGAGCATGGACAGTAACCTCTCCAATAGCATTTTCACCTAGACAGTGATAGCCATGAAACCTTTACACATCATGCCCAGCGACGTTTGGGTAGACTGTAGGCATGATGTAATCATGTAGGCATTCATTAATTACTTCACATTTACATAATTTTTACGAAGACTTATTTTAAAAACAAAGCATCATTAAAAAAAAAATCTCTTCCACATCAACAATTAACACTGTTGTCACTGCAGTTTTCCTTCTGTACTTTCTGTTCCTGATTTGGCAGCACAACAGATGAATAAAGAAGCCGAAACCATTTACTTGAGTCTGTGCAAGCTCAGAATGCCATAATGCAGACATGGTATCCATTTAGCTCTGCAGGCTACAAGGCTACTGATTCCCAACGATAGTATCCAAAAACAATGGAAGGCTGTGTCCTAATTGTTAAAGAGCTTGTCCACAAGAAACTGTGCTGATCCACATACCAACCGCTTCACACTCAGCTGCAAACTGCTCCAGTGCGCACTGGAGACATCCTTGTGATCCAGCCAAAAGAACAACATCATCTGCAAATAGCAGAGACGCCACCCTCCGGCCTCCATACATAATGCCCTCCTGACCCCGGCTACGCCTCGACACCCTGTCCATGATTATCACGAACAGGAGTGGAGACAGGGCACAACCCTGACGGAGTCCAACGCTAACACTGAAAGAGTCTGACTTAATGCCGAGTATACGAACACAGCTCTCACTCCGGGCATACAGAGATTGAATGGCCCTGAGTAGTAACCCCAGCAAACCATACTCCCGGAGGACCTCCCACAAGCTATCTCAGGGAACGCGGTTGTAAGCCTTCTCCAAATCCACAAAACACATGTAGACTGGGTTGGCAAACTCCCATGCCCCCTCAACAATCCTTGAGAGGGTGATAAGCTGGTCCATTGTTCCATGGCCAGGACGGAATCCGCATTGTTCCCCCTCAATCTGAGGTTCAACTATCGGTCAAAGTCTCCTTTCCAGCACCTTAGCATAGACTTTCCCAGGGAGGCTGAGCAGTGTGATACCCCAATAGTTGGCACACACCCTCTGGTCCCCTTTCTTAAAAATAGGGACCACCACCCTGGTCTGCCAGTCCAAGGGTACTGTTCCCGAGGTCCATGCAATATTGCAGAGGCGTGTCAGCCACGACAGCCCCATAATATCCAGAGCCTTAAGCATCTCAGGACGAATCTCATCCACCCCCGGTGCCTCAGTGACCTCCACCAGGGAAATGGAGCTTGACACGCCAGAGGTCTCTGGCCCTGACTCCCATGAGTGAGGCATGTCTCCTGGATTAAGGAGTTCCTCAAAGTGCTCTTTCTACCGACCGACAATATCCTCATTTGATGTCAGAGTTTCTCCACCCCTGCTGAATACAGCTTGGGCACAGCCACCCTGACCACTCCTGAGTCGCTGGACAGTTGTCCAGAACCTCCTTGAGGCCGACTGAAAGTCTGTTTTTCCATGGCTTCACCAAACTCCTCCCACGCCCTGGATTTTGCTTCTGCCACCGCTGCAGCTGCCACCTTTTTTGCCTGTCGGTACCTATCTGCTGAGTCAGGAGTCCTTCGGGCCATCCAGTCCCTAAAGGCCTCTTTCTTCAGCTTGACGGCCTCCCTCACCACCAGTGTCCACCAGGGGGTTCTTGGGTTACCGCCCTGACAGGCACCAACAAGCTTTTGGCCACAGCTATGCCTGTGGTTTGGTGCATAAGCACACAGTTTGTCCACCGGGACAAACTCCAACTGCACTGACGCCAGCTGGGGACTCGTGAGTATCCCCACCCCTGCCTGGCGTCTCTCACCTTGTGCAACCCCTGAGTAGGAGAGGGACCTACCCCTATCCAGGAGTTGCCTCTTCGGGCTGAGCCCGGCCGGGTTACGTGGGCTGCCCGGCCACCAGGCACTTGCCCAGGGTTAGGTCCCGGTGACCCTCTCCTGGGCAGGGTACACGATCTTCTGTGTCCATTTTTCATGGAGGGTTTTTGGATCGAGTTAGTCTGGGTCTTCACTCCAGACCTGTTCGCCCTGGAAGACCCTACCAGGAGCATATTGCTCCCGACGACTTAGCTCTGAAGATCCCTAGACCAAACAAGCCCTTCTGCCATGACAAGGCCCCGATCCAGAAATCGTAACTTGTAATCATTTAATAATGACAACAGAATATACTGTCAAATTTCCCTGTTTCCTGTGCACTTTTAGAACATACATGTAATTGCAATGTTTTAGATGTTAATGAGATGTATAGTTTGAAACCATTATCTTTTCTTCGTTTCAAATATACAAAGAAATAATCACATTTAAGTAAATTTGCATTAGATCAAGCATTGCAGGGGCCCATGGAGACCAATTTAAATCGACACTTTGCATGCTTCCTCAGGCGATCATTTGACATTGACAAATTAGATATTGAAGAGGCTAGTTTCTCTGATCATAGGCCAGTAGTGTTTAGTTCAACATTTGCTGTGCACTTTCCTGCTCCTGTTTTAGGACATTGGTCAAGGTATATTAGTTCATCCACAGCTAATGGTTTTTCCAGAGCCTTTCAGACGTTTTAAATCGCCCAATCATGGTCAGGCTCATCATATTGTGGATGATTTAGTCACTTCTTTTCATCATAACTGTTCAACTGTTCTGGATACTGTAGCTCCTATGAGATTTAAACTCTTCAAACCAAAAGTTCAGCCCTGGTTAAATGCAGCCACACAGGAAATTAGACCGGCTTGTAGAAGAGCGGAGAGGAAATGGAAAAAAGACAGACTGCGAGCAAGTCTTGATATTTTTAAAAGTTGCCTGGTTGACTATCAGCTAGCTGTTACGTCCGCTAGGGAGGCATACTTTTCAAACATCATTGCTAAAACTTGCAACAGACCTAAAGTTTTATTCAGCACAATTAATAATTTACTTAAACCTTCACCAGAGTTTGGACTTGATCCTTCTCCTAGCTTATGTGAAGAGTTCCAACTTTTTTGTTGGAAAAAATGAGACAGTTAAGTCTTGCATTACTTCCTTGGGTCTAGATTTTCCACTTGCCCTGCCATGCTGAGCTGTGTTTAAAGAGTTTGAGGCTGTTTCAATCTCTGAATTAACAGATTTAGTGCTGAACACAAAGCCGACAACCTCTCCACTTGATGTTATGCCCCCACATCTGGTTAAGGAGACATTTGATATTTTAGGATCTTGTGTCCTGAACATCACTAATAGCTCCTTAACCACTGGTGCTGTTCCAGTGTGTTTTAAACATGCAGTGGTTACACCTCTGCTTAAAAACATAACCTTGATGCTATAGTGGTTAGTAACTATAGGCCAATTCCCAAGTAACCATTTTAGCTAAATTACTGTAAAAAAGGTTGTTTATTCTCAGCTTTTACCATTTTTAAGTAGTAATAGTACTTTTAAGATTTTTCAGTCTAGTTTTAAGGCTATGCACAGCAGTAAATCTGCCCTCCTTGAGGTGACGAATGACTTACGACTTTCTGTTGATGAAGGAAATTGCACCATCCTCAAGTTATTGGATCTAAGCTCTGCTTTTGATACGGTTGACCATGACATACTTATTGGTCGTATAGAAAGTGGGTGGGGTTAAAAGGAGAGGCTCTGAGTAGGTTCATATCTTATCTTAAGCACAGAACCTTTTCAGTGAATACTGCCAGCTAGTTCTCTTCCTCTGCTGATGTCTCTTGTGGCATTCCACAAGGGCCCATATCAGGGCCCCTCCTTTTTTCACTATACATTCTGCCATTAGGTGAAATTATTAGGAAGCACAACGTCAGCTTTCATCTTTATGCTGACGATATACAGCTTTACCTTCCCATTAGACCTAATGACAATGGCTCTTTAATGTCTCTCAGCAGTTGTCTTGAGGACATTAAGAGGTGGATGGCTGTCAACTTCCTCCAGCTCAATGAAGGCAAGTCAGAGGTTATTATTTTTGGTGGTCCTCATCACATTAACAGTGTCTCCAATAGCCTTGGTCATTTGTCCTCATATGTCAAGACTTCTGTGAGAAATATTGGTGTTATCTTTGATTCAGACCTCAGATTTGATAAACAGATCAACTCTGTGGTAAGGAGTAGTTTCTTCCAGCTCAGAAACATTGCAAAGCTTAAGCCTTTTCTCTGTTTTTCTGACCTGGAGAAAGTTTTTCATGCATTCATCTTCTCTAGAATTGACTACTGTAATTCTTTGTATATTGGGATTAACCAGTCTCTATTGCAATGCTTACAGTTAGTCCAAAATGCAGCAGCTGGGTTACTGAC